CTGGTGCCGAGGTCAAGAAAGAGTAGGAGCTATACCTCTACTCCCCCCAAGCGCCATTAGGCGTGTAGCGGGATGCTTTACTTTACTAAGTCCATGGTAATTTGATGATGACAAAGGATTGTGTTTTAAATATGTCTCAGTCACATCTTGATTGTTCCTTATTATGTCATATTACCGTGTAATAACAGTGATACTTCAAAGACTGATTTCAAAATGCTTCCACAGTTTGAGTGCTGACCATGCAGTCCTGCCAGATCATGTGTGATTGGCATATATTGTTGCATCACTTGCATAATATTATAAGTTTTGTCATTGGGAATATATTTTAATTGACACGAGTGTATTCTTGTGAGAAACTTTGTGCATAAATGCTTGTTCACAGTTGTAGTGTCAAGTCACATTTTACCCACTTTCAGATCTTTACACCAATTTGATCAAGAGAGATTTAATTGTTTTAGTATGGGTCAGATCTTCCTTTGCTTGAAGGCTGATGAACGTTTCCTTCAGTTTGTGTTATTCTTTGTAGTTCTGTAACAGTGAAACAATATTTCTTGTATTTGTACTGTATACCAGCTGACAGTAATTGAAATGTTCAAGCAGCTACTAACCACTGTGTCTATTTAACTACTTATGAATCATGCAAGTATTTCATATCTACTGTTACTTACACCATGCTTGAAATTAACATAACCTCACTTTATTGTTTTGTCCTGTCAGAAGTTGAGCTCATTGGGACTGAAAGTCGTCATGTTTCGTGCTTCTTGTTGCCATGTAAAGCATAATAGACTATGCAGAAATTTTTGGGTTGTTTCATAATAATTGGATAACAGAGGAGACCTCTGTGCCGATAACAAGAGGCAGAAGATATTAAAAATGAAATATTTTGTGTTGTGCCATCTTATAACTTGTGAAATACATGTAATATATAACCATCCTGGGATTGCCGGCTTCATCAGATTATGACAGCCGTAGCAGAACCTGCTGCAGCACGAGAAAATAGTTAAATGATTGATAGATCCCAGTGGTAAAAATATTAAATATTGTTTATTGTGAATGATGAATAAGGATTGAGATTTCTGTAGTAATTTAAATGTGTAAAGCTGACCAAAAGATTGCTTTATTCAGAATAAGGTTTCATGCAGTAATTGTGTGTACAGTGTGTTAGATGCTAGGCTGTGTGTGCCCATTTTTATTGAAAATATTTACATAAATAATTTAGAAGACTGTCTGAAAATAATTGCATAAATATTTTAACTCTTTTGCTGTGTAATTTTTGTTAGTACAAAATGTCTTGGCTGTAAGTAAATTTGAAAATCTTTTTTTAATTTTATTTTTTAGACTATTTATCATCCTTACATTTTCCCTAAGATTCAAAGTCTGCAAATAAGAATTTACTACTATCATCATCCGCTGTTTGTTTATACCTAAAAGTAGTTGTGGCTACCACTTAACAACTTGAAAAACGAAGCTATATATTGAAACATCTTATAAAAATTGTATTTAACATAGGCAAAAACTTCTGCATATATGTCAACATGTGTTACCCTTCCAGGAAAAAGATTGCTGCAGGGCCGGCGAGGTTCAAACTTGCAATAATGTGAGTTCCACAGAAACTGCCGACTAGGACTGGTATGCCTTTGTATTGCTGTGAACTTCTTAGCAAAAGAGTTAAAAGAAACTATCAAGATAATGCCACTGTGACCTGTAATATATTTCAGTTTAATACATTTGTAAGGAATGCAACAGCAGTATAGTTTTGCTTGAGAACCACTGAGCTAGACTGTCTGATGACGATTATAAAGCTAAGACCCTCGCTGCAACTGAGTGATGTATATGCTGTTGATCAATAATTTAAAAGCGTGTGTTTTTGTGGAAGACTTTGACTATTTTAAATGCATGCTGCAAATATTGTATGTAATTATGTGACTGAATTTAAAAAAGTGATTCCCTGTCCAGAATGTGAACTGGAACAGCCCTTATCAGAACTCTGCTTTATAAGAATACTTTGTTAATTTGGACGGATTTAAATTCAGTCTGTTCTAGTCAGGATTTCTCTCTATATATATCTTTCTTGATAATCTGTCTCATCAGTTGCACCATGTACAAGCAACTGCAATAAATGGCATTGCTCTCAAATTGATGGCGTCTTGTTATTTTCTTCTCTGTTTCTGATTAGGGGTGTTCCAGATGACAAGGTGGTGGTGGTTAGTTTTGGTATTTTGCAAGTACTGTTAGTTAGGCTTATGTTTTTGATTAACTAATTTAATGTTGTGTAGTGAATTATTGCTCCCACCTCTGTATTGAAACAACCCTGGTCAGAGTTAAAGAGATTTGAAACATGAAACAAATGTGGAGCAGTTTCTGGCAATCTGTCGTGTGGCTCATTATTATACCATTCGGATCTTGCCATACATTCAGCAGACTGCCTGTTTATTTTTACCCAAGGCACATGTTTTTACGATGATATTTTTGGACACTCCTTGAAATATTAATATTTGACTGAAATTTATTTTCTGCATGTTTCATGTACCGTACCCTGTAGGCACAGTCATCTGCCAAATGCGACAAACTGTAACAATAAATAGTACACTTCACAGCATTGGGAATGTCTGACCATGGGTTCTTAACAGAATAATTTCATCAGAAGTTTCAAATGATAGGTCTGAATATATTATGTATTAGTTTTGTTTATATTTTGATGCTGAAGCTAACTAAACCTTCCACGAGTTCTGTAACTGCTTATAGTAGTTTGTTGACTGTTTTTATAAAACCTGTCTAAGGACTTATGGCAAACCTAATATTTCTTATGGTAGTACATTTTAATTGCATGTAAAATAAACTAGAAGTAAGTCAAATTGTTGAGACAGTATAGTGACTAGCTACAGGCCAGGGACTGGGATTCGATTCTTATCTGTGGATAGGATTTCTCTCTTCACTGCTATGTCTAGGCCCCAGCCAGCCTCCTGTCCAATGGTTTTATGGGG